TCAACATTCACTTGGAAACTTCAACGCAGCACTAGATTCTAAACATCATGCACTTGACATCCGCCTTAAACTGTTTGGAGAAGATCACGCATTTACTGCTGATAGTTATCTGAGCCTTAGCACCATGCTGTTTTCCCTCGGAGACATCAACGCCGCTCGCCGATATCTTTAGTGCACACATTTAAATCCACTTTTTAAATTATGTTTGGAGAGAACACGAAAGCAGTGCTTATAGTTGTGAGTCCGTTGCCATAACTTAACTCTTTTTTGATGATTGGAGGAAAGCAACAGAGTCAGTATAGCATTCACCTCAAAGGAGATTGAACGGATCTTGTTTACTGTGGGTAATGTCGACTGAGATATCGGTCGACATAGCGGTCGATATAGCGGTCGACAGTCGGTCGATATAGCGGTCGACAGTCGGTCGATAGTCGGTCGACAGTCGGTCGATAGTTGGTCGATAGTCGGTCGATAGTCGGTCGATAGTCGGTCGATAGTTGGTCGATAGTCGGTCGATAGTCGGTCGATAGTCGGTCGATGGTCGGTCGATAGTGGGTCGATAGTCGGTCGATAGTGAGATAGACTATCGGCCGAGTATCGGTCGATATTCCGTCGACGCACCTCGACTTACTATCGGTCATATGTCGGTGATATATCGGTCAACTGTCGGTGATATATCGGTCAACTGTCGGTGGTATATCAGTCAACTGTCGGTGGTATATCGGTGAACTGTCGGTGGTATATCGGTCAACTGTCGGTGGTATATCGGTCAACTGTCGTTCGAATATTAGTCGTGTGTTAATTTATCAGGTGAGTCCAATGGCTTTTTTTTTAAGCAAAGACGTCATTAATTACTGTTATCATGCGATGGGGAACATGTGGCAAAGCAAGGCGCGATTACGCTATGAAGAGAACCGAAGAGCACTGGGAACTAAGGACATGATAACCTTTTTTTTTTCCAGTTTGTATCATCACCGATCGTCTGAGTTTTAGCTGTTAAACAGAACCTGTCTCAGCCTAAGTTGAATCTGCTGCTCCTGTGGTCCCGCAAAATGTAAGAAAATGTAGGAAATGCTAAGTGTCGACCGACCATCGACCGAGTGTCGACCAATTACTGACCGACACATCGATCAAGTATCGACCAACTATCGACCAAGTATCGGCAAAGTGTCGGCGAAATGTCGGCGAAATGTCGGCGAAGTGTCGGTGAACTAAAAAGCTATATCGGCCGAGACACATCTGGAACGACTATCGGCCGTGTCTCGACCGAGTGTCGACCCACTATCGACCGACTATCGACCGCTATATCGACCGACTGTCGACCGAGTGTCGACCGACTATCGACCGAGTGTCGACCAAGTATCGACCGAGTGTCGACCGAGTGTCGACCGACTATCGACCGAGTGTCGACCGCTATATCGACCGCTATATCGACCGATATCTCTCGGTCGACATTACCCACAGTAAACAAGATCCGATTGAACTAGGCAAAGAGAACGCATATTCTGACTAAAGTGAAAGCTATGGATTTGTTTAATTTTTATTGCACGGAAGATCTAAAGATAAACAACACACTTTGTTGGTCAGCCGCTGACGCTCGCCTACAAATGTAGTCTTGTAGGGTCCGGAAGGGTATTCCTATTCGCGCATTCCCGCTCCTTTTTCACGACAACTTGTCTGCATCTTGAACTTATGTCACTTCAATCCCGAACACCGTTTTCTTCCCCAACGCCGCATCCCGTGCCAAGACTTTGGCGAAACCCGCTTGCCGAGTAGCAGTCAAATCCCGTATCCCATCAAGATATTTTGCGTTTTCCTGAATCCCACACTGTATTTCGGTCAACTCCTGGCTGTTCCAGAGAATACCCTTCAAGACCCTGGTGTTAGTGTCTGTGACGGAAGATAGCAATAGATTGGATACGCGAAAAACATGCTTACAGCGATTCTGACTTTCTACGAAAGAGATCCTGGGCTGTTCCTTCCCGAGGAAAGAAGACGGCAAACCTTGTGTGACAAGCGTGACAATAATTTTGTTTGAAATAACGTTTCGCAAAACTTCACCTCCTTTTAAACAGATCTTTTTGTAGAAGACCAGAAAACATTGATGTTAAGAGAAGATCACGACAAAACACGCAAGTAATAGCCCTGTCACGTTTGTCACACACAGCTGTTTTGCCGTACTCTTCTACCTGCCGTCCTGGGCCGAGTTGTTCAAAGCTGGGTTAAGATAACCCAGAGTTAGTTTGAAATTTGAATTCAGATATGAAAGCTTAAAAAGCAAATTCAGTTCAATTCTTTTTGTCAACAATCTGATGATTGGCTACTCTAAAAAGAATAGATAAAATTGTCCGAGAAAATGCTTTTGATGAAAAGAAAGAGAGACCCGGGTTAAAATTTAACCCTGGGTTAGCGCTAATCGGCCTTCGAACAACTGGGCCCTGTTGCGTAAACTCACTATTTTAATAGTGAATAGCAAAAAAGATACTGCAGAATTTCTTCACTTAGTTATTCATTTAATGAATCTTCGTTCTTCGACAGTTCACCTTGAGTTTGAGTTTCTTGTCGACTGTTCCAAACATATCGATAGGGATCGGAACTGTCAGGCATTAGAGCGGTCGAAAAAAAGTTTATCTTTAAAAGACGGCTCTTCGCGTCTTGAAAACTGAGGAAAAAAAACAACGGACTGCTTTGCAGTCCAGTTAGGTGGAAAAAATTGAGGAAAATTCCGAGAAGTGTATAGGCTTTTGTACATTATTCTTTTGCTTCCCTACTAAAATGCTCCACCTTAATGCTCCATTTTTCCCACTAAAATGCTCGGTCTCCCCAAAAAAGTCACTAAAATGCTCGGATAATGCTCATTATACAAACGGATTTTTTAAATTAATTTCAAAGTTTACACTTACAAAAACGTGCAACTGTTGCAAGTAACAACGACAACGTGTCCAAGGTCATAAATACAGCCAAAAAACCAGCTGTATTAGGGTTTTTGTGAATTTTGAATTTTAGTCTTCATTTTGTTTAAAAAAAGCAGGAGCTCATGGGGTATGAGCTCTATTTCTATTTTATTTTCTCGGAAAAATTAATTTTCCGAGGAAAATGCCACTAAAATGCTCGAATAATGCTCAATGCTTTTGCCTCACTAAAATGCTCGAAAAAATGCTAGCATAGTGTACAAAAGCCTAGAAGTGTATATGGACTAGAGCCCGGCAACAATATGTATGCGCAATATAAATAGTGAGAGAAGTCGTTACGTCACATTACCATGGTAGCAAAATTTTTGGATGACAACAAACCGAAAACGTCACTTAAAGAGTGAAATTGCACCGCTTCAAACTTCATCGATCTTATCCAATTTCATTTAATTTGGCAAATGTTGGCGAAATTTTCTCGGGTTGAATCCGAGAGGACCGTAGCTAAGTTTAGAAAAAGAAAAAGACAACGTCTGTGTTGTGTTCACCTACTCCATAAAGCGAGCGTGTGAAATTGGGAAGTTTCATGTCGCGGTGGTGCAACGACGGCAAAGAAATGTACAAAATAGCCTGATGCACGAGCAAAGTTGTGTTTTGCTAATAAAAATCGATTACTTTTTTGCCGTTCTCCTTGTCGTCGCCGTCGTCGTGGGTTTTGTTTTCATCCAGAAATAGTGCTGCCATGGTAACTGACGTCACACTTCTCCTCTCTATTCCGTTATCTCTACACAATTTCGTGCAATCCCGTAATCCCGAGGGTTATTTTTCGTATTCCACCTCCCGGGCATATTTTCAATTTCGACTTTTCTTTCAAATCCCTAATCCGGAGCTTTAAAATAAGGGGAAATCGCGAATCCCGAGCTTCAAATGAGGGAAATCCCGGTAGCCTGATTCTCAGACGTCCGAGGTCGTTCGCGGTCCCTTTCGCTTCCCTCCCTCGGACGTCTGAGAATCAGGCTAAAATCCCGGGTGCCGAAAAACCCCAGCTAGCCAGGTCAACTTTTCTCCAGCTTGCCCAGCCAGGTCAGCTTAGTCAAGGCGGGACAATCAGAACATGCGCGAGAGCTGTTGGTCCGGGCAAAAGGGTCAACGTTTTTCTTATAAAAACCCCCGCAAAAGTTGGCACCGCCTGGAGGGTGATGGGCCTAACCTTTCTTCATATAAACGGAGCCTGAGTGGTTTTCCGAGCGGTCACGATGAGAGTATTGTGCCCGCTCGGGGTTTCCCGCGTTTGCTGCTCACGAGAAAGTTCTATTTTTGACCTCATAATAAATCCTTTATACATGTAATAGCCCACGTTCGATATATTGAAATTTTAACATGACTCCTAGGCTTTCTGGTCATTTTTCTACATTTGGTTTTGCTTTCTTTGTGCTCAAGTCTCTTCTGGGAATTGCGAGACAATGAAGTCGTGAAAAATTTGCAATTTTGACCCTCTTAACTAGGTACTGCATTTTTAATTTGTCCTGTGAATTTTCCCATCAAGTCCCTGGTTAATTTATGGAAAATTTTGATAAGGAAGCTTGACGTCCTCTGTAGATCTAGTGCTTTTCTGTTGCAAAAACTTTCCGTTTAACCCTTTTCGGACGACTAGGGTCGTTTTCGTCCCATATGGAACGATGTGTACATTCCATAAAGCGTACCCTTAAGTCTACAGACATTTTTAGCCCAAAGGAAATGTCATGTGACCTTCAGGACACGTGAAGACTGTGCAAATCGCGGCTAACAAGGATGCCTCCCGCCTTCTTGATCGTGGAGACGATGCGCAATCGGAATGTTCTAAAATGGTGGCTTTTTCGAACGTAGGTTGAGGTACTGTTCCACAGGAAAACAGCGAAAAACCTTACATTACGAAACGAGTAAATTCATGTAAATGTAAGTGGAGCGGGGGAAAAGAGGGATGGAGGGGGGGGGTCACGGGTTAGTGATAATTTTTAAGTGACGAGAAGGGGGAGTCAGAGTTAACTTGCCTTTATTCGGAGGGGACGTTATATTACTCTATGTGAGCCCAATTTTTCACCCCCCCCCCACTCCTCATAATTATTGCACCGGTTTGACATTCACACATTCTTTGTTTCACTGTTGGGTAATTTTTTTTTTCTTTCATCTTTTTTCTAAAGTACACCATTTTAGTTCTTTCAGCATGTCTGAAAAAGTGCCGGGCTGTTCAGTTATAATACTTAGGTCAAAACGTGCTGGAATCTTTAAATTCAAGCTTGTCAAACTAATCTAATTTATCGCCTAATTTTGAATCCAAGTTTAAACTGAGGAAGGATAACCAATCGCCCCGTCTTTGCGCGCATTTTAAAGAATTTTATCGTTTGACATCACCGTTGATTTATAGAAATGGCACACAATTGGATTGAATTATACACCGTATCTGCAGAGGCAATTAAGCCTTCATGTTAAACGGAGTTCTCACTGACGTGGTCGCTATAGGTACGTGAGATGTATGGAGAAAACGCGGAGCGGAAGAAGCGAGTGAGCACAAGTAGCGCGAAGCGCCCGATTCAACGCCTTTCCCTTCTCTTTCCATTGCCTCCCACGCGGGCGCAAGGTGTAAGAGAGTTTGAACCAAAAACAACGCTCTGGACAGCTGAAAAGATAATTTCTACATTAGCGCGCTCGTAACTCAAATCCTTGGTTTGTGTGGTCCGGGAGCATAGAGAAGTTTTCTTGCTTCTGGTCTTCGTCTTGACTTCCGGGTTCTCCACACAAAAACAACAACAATCACCACAACAGCCGTTAAACACACAGCTAACGCTACAGCGGCCGCAGGAGGGAAGTCATCTGTGGCGGAGTCCTGGTCATCGTCACTGATCAGTCCACTCATAACAGTGTTACTGTTTGTTTTAGTGAATAGGTATGAGTTTTCCTGAAAACATAAAGTTACAAAATAATAGTCAGCCCTCATGTTATAGACAGAGCCGACTGTTCTCATCACAGACTGGATGTCCGAAGTATATGACATCCTTGACACCAATACTGTAATTTGCCTAGTCCCTAGGCCTCCTTATTCCCCGCGGCCAATGCGTTTCGGGTCACGTGGGCCGTTCGTCTCGGAAATGCATTGGCCGAGAAGGCCTGGGAAGACGCCGTACAAAGACTAGGCAATACTGTAAATGCTGTAACGGGAAGTACACTGGAAGTAGTCGATATCTGAATCATTCACTGGTTTGCGGTACTTTAGCCTGCGTGCCAGGTGCCGTGTTCCCTTTGCGCGGCCGGTAAAAAAATATACATGACCAACGACTGCTACTCAGGCTAGGGGTACTTCTGAATGGACTCGTTTGAGTTATGCAGCCTGCCTTAACAAACCCTTCCCTGTTTTGAGACCAAATACTGAAAACATTATAGACTGGCCTTAGAACGTTCCACCCACCCAAGTTATAAACATGCTTCAGTAGGAAGCTGGACCCCACAGCCTACAAGTAAACTCACTTCCACACTTAACACTTCTAATTTTTACTTGTAGAACTTCCTGATGATCTTCGCGATATGTGGACGAAATGCGTGGGAGATTAAATCACTTTTAAAAGTTCCAGGCCGCTCGAGTGCTGCTCGTTAGTTTTGTTTCAAAAAATATGTGTTTTTAAAATCAATCAGACAGGTCATGAGAATAACTGTTATAGAGACCTCCCCAGCTGAAGCTTTTTCTTATGTTAGAAGCATATTACAGAATAGCTACTCCCTTGTTAATGGGAAACTAGAGCATCATGAATGACGCCAAAATTTCAGTTAAGTTTACATGGCAGACACGTCGAAACTGATGGAGGAGGAAAGGGAAAAGAGAGTGGGATTGGGGAGAGACAGGCGTTTTTCTCCCCTCCCCCTCCACCCAACCCTTTTTTTTTTGCGACAGCGACCCAGGCTAAGATATAAAAGAAAGTGAAAACGAGAAAAGAATAGACAGAAAAGAGCATAGGCGTGGTTATTAGATAGCACCATACCATGTTTTTCCACAAGGCTAGAGCTGCTGCCGCATGGCCCTGTGCTGAAAAGTGCAGACAGTCCAAGCCATAAAAATATCTCTACTAACTTGCCATCCTGCAGGAAGAAAAGGTAAAGTTAACGATTCAAAACTTCTGGTTTTGCTGGAAAATAACGAGCCCTGGTGGGTGGGAAGTTATATAAATGCCTTTAAATGCCTAATTAGAGCTACACGAACAGTTACCTTGTAATTTTTCACAGCTTGTGAAACTTTGGCTCTTTCCTCGCCACCTTTCTTAACGCACTGGCATGAATTCCTGAAAGAAAAGAACACAACAACAATTACATTGAGTATTACTTTATAACAAAAAAGGTAAGAGGAGGTTTAGAATAGAGTTATGGATAATAACTCATAGAAAATACTACTTTGAATAATTAACTGAACAACTAACAGTTTCTGAAAACACTACAGTTCACAAGAAATGTACCAGACTGACTGCACAACTTGTGAAAACATTATGTACCTGTAACCTAGCCTCAAGTCCGATATATCACATGCTAATGGTTTTAATAAACCCAAGTTTAAATTTCTGACAATTGCTACAATGTCCGCTTCAGGTTTAAAAAATCAAATTGCATGTAGCTCAAATCACTGAAACCAGTCAACAACCTTTTCCCCAGATCAATTAAAACGATCTACCCCAGGCAATGAAACCCAACAAGATAATGAATTAGAATTATGCATGCAACTTTGGCAGCTGAAATGGTCAAATTATCACCCCATGCCAAAGCAGTGTTACCTAAACATTCTGTATTTCACTCACCAGCCCATGATTTCACATGACTTGGACTTTACCCTCCATGTAATTCATAAAGCAGACACATGTCCATGGGCGGGACTAAGTTGACAAACAGACGGGGCACCTGTTCAGTCAAAAAAAGTAAAATTGAAAGGATATAAGAACAATGCTATATCCTTGTAACAAACTTTGTTGTATTTTTACTATGAAAATGAAAGAGAAAATAAAGGTAAAATATTTAATCATACCTCCTCTTTCAGGCCATTAAGAGAGCGCATCACATATTTCCCTTGTACTTGAATTTATATGTAAGGTGTTTCTTTCTGTATGTTATTGTATTTCTTTTCTTTTCTTTTTTTCTTATGTAATTTAATAATGTCTTTATTTAAAGTCTTGTCCTGCCTATTTAGAATTAAAGCAATTTCCAGGACATAAAGTATTGTAAAATTTATATTTCTTTAAATAAATACATTGTTGTTGTTGTTGAAAGACCTTGGGCCAAGTTTGTCCTGAAAAATAAAGACATTAAAATTTTATGACTTTTAATGCATAACACAAATCATTTTCTGGTAACTGCATAGTCTAAAATGTGGCCCACAATTAAGGACAGAAACAAAAAATTACTGCAACAAGCATAACAAGTAAGAATCCCCACTGGCTAAGAGCAAGCCAGTAAGAAATTTACAAGCTTGGCTTAGGAGCTGAACATGGGGCTGCGAAAAACAAACCCAGCTGACAGTTAGAGCGGGGCTTGAACCTGGGGAGTCCCGATTGCAAGTCCAGCGCTCTAACCACTCGGCCACACTGCCTGCTTATTTAAATAAGAAAATAATATATGAAATCCAAGACCAATCATTACACCACCCTTAATAAACAAGTGTTTAATCGTGATTTCTTGAATTTTTATGAGTAGCACTATTAGCACAACTGAATGAACTAGAAGTCATAAAATTGATGAGCCTGGGCCAAAATACGACACAAATTAATTTAATTTGATTACATACACAATGTAATTCAAAGCAATCATACCATGTCTGTGCAAATGTGACAGATATCTTCTGTTTCAATCCACATGGTGAGAAGTTTCCAGTCATTTCCATAATCAATGTTCTATTTAAGAATTAGCAGAACAAAGAAAAAACCGCTAATTACAAAAATGTTATTAAATGCACTGTAAGTTAAACAAACCCAAGGACATTCATAAATCTGAATATTATTAGCAATAACTTATAGCAGAGCAGACCCACAAACGTAGCCCCATAGCCAAAAAACTTTGGTGAGCTATCCTTCAAGAATTCTTGGCAGTCAACACATAACGGCCATTCACCCGCTTATCCGCCTGTTCATTATTATATTGGCCTTTATAGCATAAAATTATATATTGGGCTAACCAATTAACCTTGCAGAACTAGGCCTATTTAACACACTTAAGGTCTTACATCAAATTCACTAATAACTTCATAACCTCCACTATGACTTTGGAATAAAGCTACAACCAGTGCAAAAATGTTGAGACACTCTGCCAAAAACCGGCCTTCCTTACTGCAAATCGCTGCCCTAGTCACACTTCTGTAAAAGAAAATACTCACCTACCTCTTTCTCTCCATTCAAAGTTGTTCCTTTAAGTTTTGAGCATGGCCTTGCAAGTATGATAAGGGGTGGAGGGGGGTTCACAAGCACAAGATCATGGACAGGCCATTTAAGACAAAATAGGGCACAGTGTCTCAAGTACTTTTGCAACTGGTAATGTAGCTTAGATATATAATACATATGTACCTTCATGTTTTTCAATCTTGAAACCAAGTCTTTTGCTTAATTCTCACGGTCTCTAAATAAAAGTATCAAAGAATAAGACAAATTTTGCCTTTTTAACTACATTCACAAGTTACAATAAAATTATTAAATCGCTCAACATGAATGCAAAAATGTTTGTATCAAAATTGTATGTATTCTGACCTTGCTGAGGCTCCAGCAAAGGCAACATTCAGATCATCATTAAAAAGGACATTGTCCTATGATTGACTTGTTACTGATGTACCTTTCAGTAAAGGATTAAACTGTCGGATGATATCTGTAAGTGTATGGAATGAACAACAATTTAAATTACGCTAGCATTTCAATATAATTTCTGCCTTGGAATTGTCCTTGGTGACCCAGGGACAGTCAGTCATCAAAAGTATGTGTTGTGTGGACATACATATCCTGGGGGTCATATCATGAAAAACCAAGGGTACAGTGTACTTACTATTTACACTAGCCTCCCACGCAGGCGTTTTTAGGGGAGCTCGTATTTCTTCCCTCCCCACAAACGCCTGCTCAACGGAAAACAACATTCCTTTCTCATTGTTTTATTTGCGTGGTAGGTGACCAATCAACAATTGTGCAATGAAGTGTTGACAGGCTAAACACGACTGAACGTGACCTTAGAGTTACCGTTTTGCTTCCTTTCTTTCCTTCGCTAAGGTTATGCAGTGCATGGAGTATTCTGAATTTTGACTAAAACTTATTTTTGCCGCTCTGAATCTATTTATTGCAGGTCAGAAAGCTTTCCCAGTGTTTAATGCAGATCGAGTAATTATCAGATTACCTTGCGGTCAAGGTCAACTTTCCAGAATTTGGAAAGTACAATGTGATTGGCTAAGCTTGGGAAAGGAATGTTGTTTTCCGTTGAGCAGGCGTTTGTGGGGAGGGAAGAATACGAGCTCCCCTAAAAACGCCTGCGTGGGAGGCTATATTTACACGGGAAAACCGGAAATTCAGGTTGGAAAATCAAATGGTCCGCATTATTTCATTTAGGAAGCTTCAGAAAATATGGGCTGTGATTTGAGAAGATGCAATAAATTTATTTTTCTACCCTTTTCAGTCTGTTCAGCTGATTTTGGATTTACTTTGTAGTGGGTCGTTCACCCACCACTTCAAATTTAATAGACTTATTTTTCTGCACAAGATTTCCACCCAGGTGGTTTGTGAAAATGGTGCACCTCATCAAGAGTCCAACAGTGTAGTCCAAAATCAATCAGTCCAATGTTTTTATTAGTAATTTTATACTATACATGAGAAATTTCTGCAATTTGATTGGTTTAGAGCATTCTGCTTCATTTGAAATACCTAAACGTGAAAATTACAAACCTTTTGCAGGTAGTAGTATAAACAAATAATAGCATGATTTGTACGTGATATTTGGCATAAATACCACTCGTGATATTTCAAAATAGTCTCCAGTTTCATCTAGGTATTTCAATTTTGAAATATTACTCATGGTATTTATGCCTAAATATCACTACAAATCCAGCTATTACCTATACAAATGTTTCAAAATGCTTTTGTTTTGCTAATTCAGAAATTAATGAAGTTCTAAACTTTTTTATGATATTGCTCTCTTGATGTCAGGTAAGTTTTATAATTTACAGATTTAAAGTACCAAACAGGAGTACAAAAATCATCCTACTGGACAAACTGTACTATTAATTTAGGGCAAACTAATCTAAACTTTAAGATAAAGAGATTGAAACAAAGCAAAATAAATTAAACTATGGACAAATCTAATTCACAAAATTAACATGAGTAAATACATAAGTGCATACTAATAGTACTCACTTGGTTATGCTGTGGATTGGTTCAAATATCCTTCCCCTCCAATGCTTCAAATTAAAAAATATGAAAAAACTGATCACACAACTAAGTCAGTCAGCATGTAATTTAGTCAACTGTCTCCCTTAAAAGAGGACAAATAATCTTCCAGCAATCTGGTTGATTAAAACACATAAACACAAGCTAACATTAATAATTGACACAATGCACAGAATGGTTAAAACAGGTGAGGACAACACATGGACCCACTTTGGACTGGGTCCACGGACCACTTTCATTGACTGGGTCCATGGACTCCCTGTCATGGACCGGGTCCATGGACACTTTTTTAAAAATAAATGAGAAATGAACAAAAACAGAAATAGTGTAAAATAAGATTAAAAAACAACAACAACAACAAACAATGCTCGATTGATCAGTAATAATAATTAATCATGCTTACATGGTGTAAAAAAAGGGGGTTTGGTAGGCAACACACGACTTTTACCTCATGCCAAAATGCTGCATGTTCCAATGAATTGTTTTCTCCGACTGGTAGATTATGTTTTGGATTTTATTTTATACTGAGAGATCATGACACATATTTTGATTTTCTACGTCTTTTGAATTGTAAAGCTCTTCATTTTGCGGCTGATTTTAGAAGGGTTTTAGGTTGTTTAATTTCTTCAAAGTGCCTCCTGGATCTGAATAATTCTAAACCATTTTCTTTTTGTCTATGAATGTCACTTTTTACAGCAATGTTTCGTCACGTTGGGCCCAGCTCGCTAGCGTTTTTTTTGCAGGATGACTTATTCCCATGAATAGTGATTTACAGATGTCCAAATCTCAAAGAAGCGGATTGTAGCTTTAACTAAAGCTACATCAACTATCATGGAGAATTGCAATATGACTAAGTCATGACTGCTCTAAAAGCAATAAATTCTAAACTCCAGCTTGTTTTCTATTAAAGGATAATGCGAGTCTTTGTACTGGAGAGTGTAATTCCTCCCTTGGTGATAACTTTTGAATTAGCTTAACAGTCTTGCGACTGCTGCAACATTTAATGCAAGCAGAGTGTGGGTGATGTAAGCACGACTAAATATGTTGACAGCTTCTTGTCAAATCTTATTTTTGCCCTACTTCTGTTTTTGTTCATTTCTCATTATTAAAAAAGTGTCCATGGACTCGGTCCAAAACCTGTCTATAAAAATAAAAAAAATTGTCCATGGACCCCGTTTTCGAGATTATTACTGATCAAACGAGCATTGCTTGTTGTTGCATGTTTTTTTAATCCTACTTTTGCACTATTTCTGTTTTTGTTCATTTCTCATTATTTAAAAAGGAGTCCATGGACCCAGTCCATGAAAGTGGTCGATGGACCCAGTCCAAAGTGCAGGTCCATATCATGGACCCAGGTCCATAATCGCCTTAAGTTTGACAGTCACATTTTTCATTCAGTCGTTCAGTAAACCCTAAGCTGAGTTAAGTTTTTGAGAAAATACGCAGTCACTGGGCAATGGGTGAAAGTATCCACATAATTTAGAAATCAAAAGCAACAACATAGTAACATATGATAAATTCTTACCTCCATGAGATTCCTTTAGAATCAGTAAAAAACCCATTAAGCGACAAGGCTTCTGCACCAAGGCTACACTTGGAAAAAAAATCAAAAATACTTTCATCAATACTCATCAAGAATGAATATTTTTTGGAATTCAAAAGGCAGTACGTGTTACAAACATCTAAAACAACATGTACCTGAATGCAGGGCTGTCAAAACGTTTTTAAGTAGCAGGCTGATAATTATGAATAGTAGGCGGCTTTGGAACTCGCACCAAGGCACAAGTTCTTGAGGACCGTGGCATCTAGCGACATTTTGAAATTTCGAGTCTCGGAAATGGCATTTTCAGGGGTTTTCAAGAGTTATTCTCCACCACCGCGGATGCCATGTTGTTTCGTCAGAACACGCGCAAGACTGGGAACAATGCCGTCGAAAAATCTCCCAGGAATCCCAGGCAGACTTCTCCCAGGCGCGTTGTTTGAACGTTCCACAGATCATGTCAATCAAAACTAAGAAACAGATGCTTTATTATGCTTTACAATTTCCTTTTCCTTTACAGAGAGGTTTCGCATGGTCACGCCACAGGATTTTGCCGAACAGTCAGTTTCAAAAAAGAGAATATAAGTACCACTAAGGAGGTCTCAGTCAGAGGGCTAAAGAGGTTTTATTAGAATAGCAACACCATAGGATTTCATCCACAGATTCAAATGTTAGAGCCACATACTAATAAATAGCACCATGTGAAAGTACTGCTGGAGAGGTTTCATTCGAATAGTCACACCACAGGATTTCATGCACACACTCACGACTTAGAACTACGTACAAATCAAATAGTACCGTGTAAAAGTACTGCTGGATAGGTTTCATTCGAATGGTTACGACATACAGGACATAGGATTTCATCCACAGGCTCACAACTTAGAACCACATACAAAACAAACAGTACCATGTGGAAGAACTGCTAAAGAGGTTTGGTTTGAATGGTAACACAATAGGATTTCGTTGACAGGCTCAAAAGTTACAACTTGATTCAGTACTTGTCTCCATTATTGACTCTTGTAGAACAGAACTTCTTATACTGACTTAGTTTTGTGACAGTATAAACTGTTGCTGTAAACAGTGTACAGTACCCTGTGAAAAGAGTCTCCTTCGATCTTCCTAGATAAGTCGGGAAGGGGAAGGAACTTCGCTTCCTCTTTCCCGACTTATCTAGGAAAGATCGAAGCGACTCTGCTTGCACGGTAAGTGTACAGGGGACTGCTTTTAGCAGAAACAAAAGATGTGGTCTGAAAATTCCAGCATGTAGTTAAGTTCCTTACAAAATTGTTATTTAATCTTGATCTTTGGTTCTGCACTATTTCCGCCCATATGTGTTGTTCAGCTAGTATGTTGTTTTATTTTCGATTAATAATATTATTAAAAGTTTGCTTTTTACGGTGGTGTTCATCTTGTCATTCCGTTTATCAATAAACAGAAAAAGCTAACAAATACTGGAAGGGCATGAAGCTTACGTGCTTCATAAGAAAATCTTACGCAGGCACCTTGAAAAATCTATTTTAATGGGAAAAAAACTGACTGTTTTGCAGTCTACTGTCTGCTTACACTGTTTGCCCACTAAGAAGTAGCCTAATGCCATGGAAGTCTAATAAGGGGACCCCACGTAGAACGTCCTTTCCCGTTCTCAACCTATTGAAGAGCTGTTTTTTGACAAAATAGACCGCAGTTTTGACTTTTATGTAATTCATCCTTGTTTTCAGGGGGATGGGAGGGGGGAGGGTGTTTTGTTCTTTTCTTTTTCAAGGTTGCAATCATCAAGGATAATTTAAACCCCCCAAAAAAAAAAAAAAAACATAGATAAATAAATAAATACGAAGAATGGGAAATGGCCCATTTTGGTCTTCTTGCAGGGTTCAATCTTGATTTCGCTACGGCATGGAGATTGGGGGTCCGTTCAAGATTGTAGACCAAACCCGGAAATTGCAGCCCAATGTGAACAATATCAGCAATGTCTGTTTTTGTCTTTTAAAGGAACCCGTGACTAATCTACATATTGAAAGTAGCTGTTTAATAATTAACTTCCTGAGGGACAAACCCCTGTTTAATACCAAGGACTGTCATGGAGCAAAACGCTAATCCTTGGGGCTTTTCATCCTATTCTTGACAATAAAGACAATCTAGAGACCGTGCCGGGATTGATCAGCTCAGGGAAGTTTTAACTTGCCTCTATAAATCTCGTGAAGGTAGGTTATATTTTCAATTTTAAGTATAAGTATCCATGCAAGCTGCCCGCACTCAGCAATAGAGTCGCATTTTACACGAGAGCGAAGGCTTCAGAGACTTGCATCCAACTAAAGCAACTCAGGAACTCTCTCTAAAATGCTAAAATGTCTTATCCGTGGATAGAATTCAAACATATATAAGCCATTAATATAGAAAAGCTGAATTAAAAATTGGTTTATAAAATTGGATTGCGTAGACTGCCTTAAGTTTAAAAAATTTCGATTTGTCTAGGAAATATTGAAGGGTATAGAAGAACTCGAGTACACAACAGTTGTAGTGATCTTGAAATTTATTAGGAACCTTGTCGCATGTTCTATGAACCATTACCCGGGTGTATCACATCGAACGTTCGGTTTTCGAATTCTCTCGAACGAAAGACATGAGTTCGATACACTCACGCCGCCATTGAACTAAATCGAACTGACAAAAAATATTCGAATTGAAAAAAATCAAATGTTCAGTGTGAATGTTTCAAGAAAAACCACTCGGACCAGGTTAGAATGTTTTATTTTCGAAAGAGTTCGATTGAGTTCGGTCATCGAACGAAGTGGAACTCTTTACACTGAGAAAATCACGAGTGGAACAAAATCGTGCAGTTGATCAAGCGTTAAAACACCCAAGGCGATTTGAAGTTTTGTTTCTTTCCTACAATGGAACCTGTATGTAACGGCCCTGTATTAAGCGGACAGTTTTCAAAGTCCCCATTTTTCGCTCACACAAACGCTATATTTGTTACCTGTATTAGGCGGCCACCTCTATTAAGAGGCCGCTAGCAACCCTACGTTTACTTATCTTTCTTTGTCATTTTTACCTGTATTATAAAGCGCCCATCCTTGAACGGAAACTAAGCCATATGTAATTTTGTGCTACTTTAAATAAGCAACATTTACGTTATACCTGTACATTGAACGTAACCGACTATGAAATGACGAAATGAGATATTTTGTTGCCGACTTAAAAAGTCACAGAAATACGGTAACCGAAGAAGAGTAGAGGACAATATATTGCACAGTACTTTTACATAATGTTACTCGACTGCACAACAGTTGTGAGATGATTTTGAAATTTATTAGGAACCTTGTCCTATGCTCTAACCATTACCCTTGCTTATCACATCGAAGGTTTGGTTTTCGAACTCTCTCGAACGAAAGACATGAGTCGATACAGTTTACGCGGCCATTGAACCAAATCCGCGAACTAACAAAAAATATTCGAGTTGAAAATAATCGAATGCCTTATTTTCGACCAAGTTCGATTGAGTTCGGTCATCGAACGAAGTGGAACTCTTTACAAAAAACACGAATGGAACTAAATCATTCAATTGATCCAGCGTTGAAACAGCCAAGGCGATTTGAAGTTTTGTTTCTTTCATTACAGTCGAACCTGTATATAACGGCCCCGTATTAAGCTACTTTTTGTGTGCTACTTTTAATGAATGTTTACCGGTTTTCAGGTAACATTTTTTTCCAATCGGACCCGAATATCAACTCGGACCCGACTGAGTAAATCAGCACAAAATTACATATGGCTTAGTTTCCGTTCAAGGGTGGCAGCTAAATGCAGGTAAAATTAACAACGAAAGAAAAACGTAGGACTTCTACAGGGTGGCCGCAGTCGCTTAATAGAGGTGGCGGCCTAAAACAGGCAGCAAATACGGAGTTTCTATAAGCGAAAAATCGAGACTGGCCGCTTAATAGTCAGGGCCGTTACATACAGGTTCGACTGTGAAGAAAGAAACAAAACTTCAAATCGCCTTGGCTGTTTCAACGCTGGATCAATTGAACGATTTTGTTCCATTCGTGTTTTTTTTTTTTTGTAAAGGCTGCACATAAAACGTAACAACTATGAAATGATGGAATGAGAAATTTTGTAGTGGACTTTAAGTCATAGAAATACGGTATACCGAAGAAGAGTAGAGGACAATTTATTACACAGTACTTTTACACAATGTTACGTATATGTACGCTCCAATTGTTTCCTTGCATGAAGTGTTTTGGTATGATACGTTATTAAAATTGACATTATACCACGTCCAGTGTGTATTTTTAGTGATTACAGTACGACCACACGAACCGAGGCCACCCGGACAAAATTTTGAGACAAATTTTGAAATTAGCCAATCACAAGTCGAGATCTAAACAATGAAGTTGAGCGTAATGAATGATTTTCCAGTAACCGGATACTCATGTTTTGCGCACAGGATTTTGGGATCGCCAGGGGGCAAACATTGCGAGTCGCTATAAAGAATTGTATGGCGTGGAGTTGTTTCTCCGTTAAAAGCAGTGTCTCTGGACATAGAATGCCGCACTTTGCCATGATTTTATGAGAAATGGAGGTGACTAATGTTGGTGCGTTGAAATTTCAAGTTTCTGTGTGATTAATGCGATAAATTCTATCGATAAACACTCCTTGCATGAGGTTGAGTGTGAAATTTATGTTTACTGAATTTACACAGTGATCTACATGAAGAAAAGGTCTCGAAATATATAGTGCAAACTTAGGTATACATGTAGGGGGATTGGCTCATTTAAGCTTTTTAGTTTTAATTACGTGTGGTGATATTTACGAGTGTAACTATGCTCGGCCGCGATCAGCTCTGTGCGGGTTATAACGCTCAACAATCGTAGGACGTGGCCATAAAAATAAAAAATCCTCCTTTACTTTGGTATAAACAAAGTAACATCTACGAAATATTTCATGGAAAGTACATGTTATTTAACCATTAGTAGAAGACGCAGAAATCGTACGAACTAGTAAGATTTCCGATACAAAAGCAGTGAGCCGTGTAAATAAATACCAAGTTGATGTGCGAAATTCAGAGATTCTATATCTTCCCTCAAAATGATCAGAAAAGGCATTAGAACTAATTGGTGCTCTGGATCATGACAAAACATTTCGCTTGTGTTTTTTTGGCTAGAAGGAATCAATATATTAATGTGGGGAAGATGTTTTGCTTTTAAAGTTAATACATATCAAATTCGACAATACATAAGCTTACCTTCGATCGTTGTCACAAACTGGCTCAGCGTTGTGA